AAGGGATTTCGGCCGGCTGCCTGCCCGGCCTTGTAAAACTGCCGCGCGACCTCTCATTAACCCCATCGCCGTGGTCGGGCATAAACCGGTACGTAATTCTCCCCCGCGCGAACTCGCTTCTCCGCGCTTCTCCGCCGGTATTTAGACGGACTCTGAGTCGCGGTGCGCCGCGTTGACATGATATCTGCCCACCTATTCGGCGATTTCGCACGCGGAGCGCGCGCGAGAGAGAGAGAGAGAGAGAGAGAGAAGGAGAGAAGGAGGGTGGAGAAAGAGAAGGAAGTCGCTCGCAGGCTTCGCGTAAACTTCGGTAACGACGCCGGCACGCCGTGGAAACGTATCCACTTGCGAAGTAGTTCATCCTTAAGCCCCTACTTATTTTCTTCTCGTACTTCGGAGGAGGAAGCGGCGCGCGGTTCCGTCTCGCGGCCGAACTTCGACGTTCCGCCGCCTCGAATGAGTCTGTCGCGAAAGTTTAATTAGATCCACCTTGAGGCAATTCCAGACGGTTCTGCCATCGGTCGCCCGGTAGCGAGTTAATGAGTCGGTAGCAAATTTCATTCAGTTACGAAGATAGTGCCTTTAATGGATATGAGAAAATACCCCGACCAACTCGTCCCGTTAGTTACCGTTTCAGGCGGAATATTAACAGTCGTCGGGCACCGGCGGAATGTACCGAGACATATTCGGGCAGGCATAATTGTAGACCGCACCGCGTGATCAAAATTTCAATTACCCTCTTCGGAACTTTATCGGGAAATCGGAAAATCACACGATGAAATTATGGTTCTCATAGGCACGACGATTCGAGGAGACGTGGCCTTTCCCTTCCTCACGTCACGACCAAAGCCAAAGAATCGCCGATGGATCCGAAAACAATTCCCACCCCGAAACGGAACGCTTTCTTGGCGGCTTAGCAGGATGACGATTAACGACCGCCTCATTTCCCACCGTCCCGCGGCGAGTTCGCCTAAGTAAATTATCAGTCACCGGGTAGCTCCCATGCGACGACAGGCGGGCGCCGGTAGCTTTGCGGATTTACGCGATACCGACGAATACAAGCGGCGAGCCTTACACACACACACACACACGCGCGCGCGCGCGCGCGCAAGCCAGGGGAACTTTATTACATTACGCTATGCGGCGTTTTTCCTATCGCCGTGCGGTCTCGTTGCGCCGTTAGCTGTTAACCTCATCGAATTGACCCCGGCTCCGCTCTGCTCGGCCCGGCTCGGCCCGGGACGGGACGGGACGGGACGGGACGGGACAGGGAAATAACGTGGTGCTCGCGCGCTGCGCAGCGGTATCCGCGGCGCGTCGGAGAATCAACGAATTCCCCGGATGACTCTGAAGAGCCGCGCGAGGATTCCCGGCGTCGTAAGAACGGCCATTAAGGCGGCGATAATGGCCGGCGATAATTCGCCTTTGTTAATTAAAGCGTAACGAGACGATAGCTCAAAGCTTTCGTACGGCGGATCCGGCGACCGCCGCGCCGCGCCGCGCCGCGAGATCTTCATCTTTGATCCTCCGCAATACGACTCATGATTTATTCACGGGAAATTCCCGGTACGCCTTTTGTAGATCCCGATTGTATCTCTCCACCGGGATTTCTTTTATCGCCGCGCGAGATTCCCGATCGCTCGATCGCGGAATATCGCCTCGCTCACCCTCCCGCCCTTCGCCCCTCGCGGTTATTATCCCTTGAGCGGTCGGAACGCGCCGAAACGCGTCGCGACAGCGACATGCTTTTTACACGCGCTCGTCGCGTCGTAAACTCGCGCTCAAACTGCCCGCCAACGACACTCACTCCAAACACCCCCGACCCTCATCCGGCACCCTCGGCGATACGATACAATTCATGTCGCGTATCAATGAAGCGCGCGTCGGCGCGTCGGCGTTCGACGTTCGATGTTCACACGTCGCGGGATTTGCCCGCCGCTCGATCAATCTCGGCCGAACGCTCGAACCGAGCCGATGCGGCTGGGTCGATCGCGAGTCGCGTCCCACATCGGACGCGGACTCCCCTCCCCGCTCGCACCGTCGGGAATCCCGAGCCGAGCGCTCGCAATTTGCGAGCGCGTAGGGGAAGAGACGACTTCGCGAGTGGAATTCTCGCGGGGCATGCGGGGCGCGCTTGCGGCAACCCGACTCTCTCGTCCGCCGGCTTCTCCGCCGTCGACGTAGCAAAGAGAAGAGCGATTCCTTAATTTCCCATATTGTGGCTCGTCCCGGCTATCCCGGAGCGTCCCGCTGCGTTATAGCGCGGTTTAATCACACTACAAGCGCGCATCCCTCGTTAGCGGGATATCGTACCCGCGGTGGCTGTAATACGAGGCTACATTCCGCGCGGCGGACGCCGCGGCGAGATACGGCATGCCGTGCGAGAACGTTTCCAGCATCGTCTCGGTGCCGTCTCGGTGCGGCATCGGCAATAATAACCTTCTGCGCTCCCTCGGCTCGGCGGAAGGCGGGGCGGCAGGGAAGGCGGGGGAGGAGATGAATCGGCCGCGCGCGAGTCGTGAGTTCCCTCGGACGAGCCCCGACACGCTGCGATTCGGTTCTTTCGCCGTGGAATTTCGAAAGAGATCCTTCGCACCCTCGCTCGTCGCCGATCGTCGTCCCGCAAAAAGCGGCCCTCTTATTCCGGGGGCGTTTTCTCGGCTCGGCGAGCGTGAGATCGACACTCCGCGACGCGTGCTCCGCGTCGCCGTCGCCGACGTCGTCGGACACCACCCAGGACGATGATCCCTCGTGTTCTCGTCGAGGAGGAGCCGCCGCGACGGAGGACGCGTACACGCTTGAAAAACACTCTTAAGGAAACCGGGAAAGGAGCGAGGCAGAGGCGGCGGGCGCGCGGTGGGAGACGCCCGCAATAATTGTGATTTACGGTTCGGTCGCTGGCGAAGTAAAGCGCGGCGAGTTCGTTTGAAACACGGTTGCGCGGCGGTGGCGGCGGTGGCGGCGCGGAGGAAGAACTCGTCTGCCGGAGCGAGACGGTGAGAAAGACGTGCGCGCGGGGGTGCGTCACGAAGATTACGGGCCGGGGCGGCACGAGCAGAGAGAAAGGGGGGGGGGAGAGGGGACAGAGAGAGGCGCGAGATCGCGGGTGTTTCCTGCTTTTTGACAAATCGCCGATGGAAAATCCAGCGGCTCGGGTGTGGGAAAGGATTACTCGCGGCGAATGCTCGTGAGAATGGTTCTCCGGCGTTGCGAGCGCCTTAATTGGCACTCTTTTCCGCGATCTCCCGGAACCGGCGGCTTAATTAGCAAAGCTCGTAATTCCGTTTCGCGCGGGAAACGGAGACTCCGCGCCGCGCCGTGCCGCGCCGCGCCACGCCGCGCCGCGAGCACGGGTCCTTGTTGAGCGTACCCACGACTCAGCCCAGCTGATCGATACAACGCGTCTTTGCGCTGCGATCTCTTCCGAGGCGTCTCTTTACCACCCGTTAAATTCTACGACAAAAGAATAAAGACCGGGAAATCCGCGTCGACAGCCGCGCCGCGCGGGTTCCTTTCTCCGTCGACGACCGCGCCGCGGGGAGATGTTCGCCTCGCTTCGAGCGAAATCCGCTCGGAGATGAAGCGCCGGTTGATACGCGGCGCTCGATAATGCTGCAGTGACTAACTTGTGTATTGTATCGGGGGATGCAGGTCGGATTTTAGCATAAGAAAGGCTTAACGGAGCATTTCGACAATGGCGGTCGAGCCCTTGTGCCTTTCGGATCTCTCGGCGATGCTCGCCTGTCCCTTCCTCTCTTTCTCTCTCATTCGCCGCCTCGGTCTCGCCCGTGTCGTCGCGTCTCGTCGACGGACGGAGAAGCGTGTATTGGAGCGCGGAGGGTAGGACGCAATCAGTGCTCTTGATTTATCGTGGCAATATACATTAAGATACCGACATTAAAACTAGGGGAGTCTCCCGTGGATTCCGAGGCTCCATTACCGCTTTAGGACGGCGGTGAAAGGGAGGGAGAGTAGGAGAGTAGGAGAGTAGGAGAGAGAGAGAGAGAGAGAGAGAGAGAGAGAGAGAGAGAGAGAGAGAGAGAGAGCTGCGAGCTGTCGTCACGTTGCATCGGAACTCTCGGGCGAGATTGAATTCTCAGCTGCGGCTGATCCGTTCGACGTTTTCCCTGAAATTAATGGCGATCGGCTGCTCGCCGCGCGCGGGCACGCGTCCCCCTCTTCTTGCTCATTAGCGACCGCGACAGTTTATTTCAAGATTCGCGGCGGCTGACTGCGCGTCCCGACATTACGGAGATGCAATTACGGAAGGAAATGATCGTGATCGCGCGAGAGGATTGGCTCATCAATGAGCGATAGGAAATCGGTAATAGAAACTCGTTTAATGAGTGATGATAAATATTAATAAAACACACACACACACACACACACACACACGCGCGCGCGCGCGCGCGCGCGTGCGCGCGTATAACGATTTCACGAGGAGGCTATATAAACGCGCCTGGGAATTACAATCTCGCGGTATCGCTCATTAACAAGTCTCTCGAGGATCGCGCTGTAAATCGATTCTCACAGATTGACGCTCGCGAGCGCGACGCCAGCGTTCTCTCACAGCGGTCAACTCGGGAGAGCCGCCCCTTGCAGTCCGTTTGTTGTCTTCTCCTTTTTTCGAGGCGCGAGGCGAAGAAAACGAGCGAAGCGAGACAGCTCGCCATGGCGGCTGAGAACGATTCGACTTTACGATACGCATAAGTCTCCGGGCGTTATCAGGGACGTGATCGTGACTTTGGCAAGTCGCATCACACACACACACACACGCACACGCACACAGCTCGTTGTACCCCTCGACGCGTGCTCCTCGATCTCACTGGTCTCCTACCAAGCTGTTGGCGAGGCGGGGACCGAGTATCGAGTGGTCATCGGGTTCTCGAGTTCCTCGAGAACTTCGGAAGGGGTCGGCGAGCTTGTCCAGTACTCGCCTGCCAATTACGGAACAGAGATCTAACCGTAGTAACGTGTAGTGTTTCCACCATTGTCCGCAGGACCGAGCGGGGCATACAGTCCGGAAGCGACGATGGGCTACATGATGGACGGACAGGCGGCCAGCATGATACACCGGCCGCCCACCGATCCTACGTTCCACAATCAGTACCATTACCCGTCAGAGTACTATGGACATCACTTATAAAGGTTTGTACACTGACGTCGCGTGTGATCGCAGAGATTTAGCTAATCTCTTACAAAAATGCGCGGATTATTACTACCACTGTCTCCTCTCTTTGCTGCGAGACGCGCGACAGATCGCTAATATACGCAAGATGTAATAATATCTCTATTTGTTATCGGTTCGCAATAAAAACAATTATTTATGTATTATGTTTGTGTAGCGCCTGTGTGAATCTCGGCCGAGATATTAACGCATTACTGACCGCTCGAGTGGAGCTCTATTCGTCTCACGATCGATCGTTAGCCGTACGATCGGCTCTGGCATTCTGCGGCGCGGTTCCGGGGAGAATCGATTGGTTTTCTTCTCAGATCTCATGACTATTAACCTTTACAGTCCGGATGATTCTTGCGATCTTTCAAGTGGAACTTTTTCGTGCATGTTGAAGGACAGATCGGTAAAGAAATATGAGAGCCACGCCGCGCCGCGCTATTGTAGTAGTGGCCTCTCGGATTGTAAGGGTTAAAAATCCAAATTACACAGTTGCACAAAAGATTAAGTCAAGATACGTTTTTATCGCGCACGATATCGTGAAAGGATGAACGTTGCGCAAGGACGAGCGCAGCGAAGCGCAACTCGCGCGGTTAACAATGTGTTAATATACAATGTGTGAGGTACACGAGGAACGAAGTGGTGGCGAGTCACAGCTAGCGATCTTTACTTCCCCGTCATTAGCGTGATAACCAGTCGCGTTAAATTGAGGATCGCCAAACTCGCGTGTTCCAGGAGCACTTTCGGAAGAATGGAATGCACGATGGAACGACGGTTCTAACGACACACGAGAAGCGCGTGACAGACGCACCGTGCTCCAGCTGGCGTAGGCCAGGATCGGAGGACAACGATGATCCGTGGCCTTCAGGACGATCGCTACGGTAGGTCCCGACGATTTCTTGCCACGCCGCACGTCGAAATCCGTGACGATCGGGGGGTGCTCGAAAACGCGAGAAGGACACGAGAGAGGAAGGAGAGAGGCAGGACGAAGGATTGAGATTCCCGACTCCAGGAGAGGTAGGACGAGAGGCGGGTGGAAACGCCGTGGGAAGCCGACGGGGAGAGGAGGAAGAAGATATTGGTAGAACCGTCGAAGGTGGCAGGAGGACGGTTACGCGACGGGGTAGGAGTCGAAGAGCCGCGGAAGAGCGGCGGCGACGCGCGATGGAAGGACACGAGGAGGATGAAGTCGCGGCCTGGCCCGGAAAGTGACGCGGCCGCGAAGAAATTCATGTGATTGTTCTTTGTACAAATATCGCGGTGTAATATTGTAGTGATGGAAGAATTTAAATGTTAAATTTTAATACGGTCGCGATCGAGATATATTAATGAGATATAAGTGATATAGGCAATTTAGCGGGCATGTACATTAAAAAAAGAAACGAAAGAAACGGCAAAGAGGCAAACCCGGTGCTCGCACGGAAGATCGAGAGTATGTTCACGTGCACAGACGACACGAGAGAGGTATAAAACGAGAATACGAAAGACATACAAAAAAGGAGGATATATATATATATATACATATATATATATATATATCTATATATCTATATATATATATGTATATATATGTATATATATACATACATATATGTATACACACATATATATATATATACATATATATATATATATATTATAAATAAATATAAATAGAACGAAAGAAGGGAAGAGGAGAAAGTGAGACACAAAGGGTGAAGAGAGAAAGGGGATTATAAAATGATACGGAGATGTTTAAAGGTATATAAAAAATAAAATGGGCGCGAGGCGGTGGAGAGAGGTAATGGGAGAAAGAAAAAAGGGAAAATTAGGCCGAATGACATCGACGCGTGTGCCGGACTCGAGCGTCGACCATTGCATATATATATAGGAGACATTAAAATTTGTACAGTTATTAATTATAAATGAATTTACTAATTAAAGGAAGAATATATTATATATATATAAATATATATATATAAATATATATACATGACGGAGTAACGTGTGGCCCCGGTTGTAATATAAGTCGAGCGTTGTAGTTGGACTGGGACGATTATGGTATATTGCCGACGCGTACTAACAGAAGAGAAAATTTCCGCGCGAACCGAGAGAGAACGAGGAGCGGAAGACGCAAGTGACGCGAGTGAGAGAATACACGAGTAAACGCGTGCTGAGGGATTAGTTATAAATAAATGAGATATAGATACCTGCAAAGGAGAGAGTGAGAGAGAGAGAGAGAGAGAGAGAGAGAGAGAGAGAGAATTTGAGTGCGAAAGTGAGAGAGAAAGAGAACGAGTGAAAGAGTGTGAAAGAGAGAGAGAGAGAGAGAGAGAGAGAGAGAGAGAAGAGAGAGAGAAAGAGAGAAAGAAAGAGAGGATTGATGCTCTTCGTCGTACACTCGATGACGCAGCGATATCCCTCCGAGAGTCCCAACCTCCTAAAACCCAATCTAATACAACCCCCGCTCCCGCACAAGCGACGTATATTCGCAAACGTACACACAATCAAGACATTACTCTCTCTCAGCTTCGCGGAGACACGCGTACGTACGGAATCACAAACACGTTCACGTACGCACATACAGCCATACGAGAAACACAGCTCTCCCACGACCATAAGAATAATTAAACGGAAGAGAGAGTACACGCGTTTCCAGTTCATTAGAATATATTCTGTACAAATAGTTAATTCAATTATGAAAAAATGGAGAGGGAGCGGATGGAATTTTTTCAGACGGGAGGATGATCGGTCCGCGGGCGCACGCCGACTCGCGCTCGTTTTTCCGGCGCGTTGGCTTTTCCCGCGTCGAGGGAACGAAAGCGACGGAGGACAAGGAGAGCTCGGACGGGAGATCGAGAGGAATGATTCATTTTCGCCGTAATTTCCTTTATTCGTGTCTCAAACGAGAATTCGCGGACGAAAAATACGCCGAATGCGATGAAAGGGAGAGTGACGCGCGAAGTAAAGCAAGAAAGCAGTTATCATTAACTTGTGTACACGCTAATAACTCTGACACAGTGGTCTTCAAGTATTCTCACATGTTTCATTAATTGTTTCATTAATTGCAAAATGTCAAGGAGTAGCAAAGGGCTACGTTATTTTTCTCTATTCCCGCCCGACGTAACACGTATATACGCGATTGACTCGTGTCAAACGTATATTGTGTTCGCCCATGTTTCATCGAGTTTCATCGACAAGAAATGAATCGCGATTCGTCGAAGCAGCGGTCGACGACAGCTCGGGACCCCAGCATGAAACTTGGTCAAAACGTGCTCAAAACACACGTCTTCCGCTCTCTTTGCATTTCTGGCCTGACGCTCGCGCGCTCGTAAACACGGTCGTCAAAGTGCGCGCTTTTGGACAACACGGCACTCGCGGACGGTGTCGCTCTCTTGAAGCCAATTAGCGGCGAATTCGCAGGGCAGCCCTTTCGAGTCCAACACTTTTTTCCTGATCCTCTCCTCGCCCCGACGAAGACGGACCGGGGTATCGTGCAACGACACCGGGCCGGTGCCGCTACCTGCCTGCCCGTCTTTCGTTTCCGTATACGCGCGCGTTTCTTTGTATACACATACATGCGTTCAACTCGCGCGATTCATCGTCACGGTCGGTCGCAGATTTCAAGTCCGAAGAAGCCTGAATCTTTCAATTTTGCTTTCGACCTTGCCCCCCCCCCTCCTCCCTTTCGATCTTCGGCCCCTTCCGTTTTCACGCGCTCGTTTTCATCGTCACCGATTCCGTTGCTCGTCAATGTCGGTTTTCGCCTTGTCTTTATTCGCCGTACGCATTTTAAGATTATGGTTGCCGTTTTTCTTGTCTCGCGTAATTTATTATAGTCTCGTAGGCGCAATCGAACGAAGGAGGAAGTAGGACGCGATCAATTTCCAATCTGTATTTAATCTCTCTTCCAACCAATTGTCCCTCGTTTCTCCTCCCCTATTACGGAGTTGCCAGGAATCTCTATATTTCTATACGAATCTTATCACGTGCGCGTCCCTGATATACGTAAAATGTTGTTAGCGAGCAAACGATGACAGAGAAAAAGAGAGAGAGAGAGAGACAGAGAGAGATAAACGAACACGTGAGGGAGTAGGAGCGAGGGGGGGAGAAGCGTTTTCGAGGAAGGGGATTGAATTTTCGAGAGACCTTTATAACGCGATACCGCCAGACAGAGCACATGTTTATCAAGAGAAAAAAATTTAATGAAATTAAAACGTCGATTATACGCGAGAGCGGATCCACACGACGCGAATAAGGGTACGAAGTAATAAAACAAAAAAAAAAAGGAAAAACCGCCCCTCGTTGACGTCACACGCGTCACGCGAGGACGCGTGTCTCGTTGATCTCTCGACGATCGAGACGCGACGGTTCGTTCGGAAGGATGGATCGCCGGAACCGTCCTCTCTCTTGATCGACGGAGCGCGACGAGCGAAACGAGAGGACAAGAGTAGAGGAGGAGTAGCAGTAGGTGGAGGAGTATGAGTAGAAAGAGGAGGAGGAGGAGGAGGAGGAGGAGGAGGAGGAGGAGGAGGAGGAGGAGGAGGAGGAGGAGGAGGAGGAGATGGTGGAGGTAGTGAGAAGGAAAAAGGAGGAGAGAGAGAGAGAGAGAAAAGAGTAAAATGCAGAAAGAGCATAAGACAAAAATTTTATCGATATTTTCAATACGCCCGCATACACGCAAATCTTGTATAAAAATTTTAATATAACACTGCTCCCTGCCGAGCGCCGAGCCGCGCGTCGGCGAACCGCGCCGGTGTACCTCGCGATACGACACGACCGACATGGCATACGCGCGCGCCCCGTTCAGTTACACGAAATCCATCCGGGAAAATGATTCCAATGAACATGATATCGCGCGAACGACGCGTGAGAACGAGACGATCCATCCACGTGATCGCTCGAGACACGGTCTCGGCTCGGCAACATCCGAAGCCCTGCCCCTTCGCGAGCGGAAGGAGAGGTACGCCGGTAGCGTCGCGCGTCGCGCCTCGCGCGATCTCGGCGTTCTAGTATACTAAACTAAACTAAAAGAAAAGTAATAAAGAGAGATAACCCACGTATACCGAAAGACTCAGGTGCGAGAGAGGAAAGTCAGTATATAGTTACGGTCCTGGTGAAATCGGAAGAATTACTACACGAACTCGTAAGATAATTGTCGCACGCGCGCGTGCGCGAGGCAAACGCACGTGCGTGGCTCCGGCACGCGACGCGCGCGATCGATCGTGCTCGATCCTTGACCGAGAACGGTGCAGTAGGAAGAGCGCGAAGAAGGAAGACCCCCTTTTGCCTTTCGGGGGTCCTCTTGCGGCCGTGCGAATCCATCCGGGCCCTGCGCCATGCGAACTTTCTCGTCGGGGAGATTAATCGTGATCACCGGGCGACGGGTGAAAACGGTATACGATAAGAGGACGGACGGAAATTGTATACGTTACGCGCGAGAGATCGCGCCGCCGAGATTACGCGCGCGCGCGAGAAAGAGAGAGAGAGAGAGAGAGAGAGAGAGAGAGAGAGAGAGAGAGAGAGAGAGAGACTTGTTCGTTTACGACGAAGATCTCTCTCTCTCCGCCCGACGTGACGATTTTTCACGAATTTTACCACTCAAAGATCATATTAGCGCGCGCGCGCTAAGACCGGTTTTTACCTTGCCGATTTTACGCAGACTCCGCGGATTCTTTTAAACCATGAGGACCATGATGAATTGAAGCGAAGGACAAAGTGCAGCGTGCACGCGCGCGGTCTCGGCGAAATTCAGTGTAAGAGAATAATCTATATCTATAAATAGTTATCGAGAGAACGAGACAATCACATGGAGTAACTTAATCCGACCGACTAGCGATCGACGCTGCCGTTGTTGCCGCGCGCGGCTGCGAAGACGACGGCGCGTATTTACGGATTATATTTGTTGAGCGATATATTGTTTAATTTTGTTGAAGCCTGCGCGCCTTCTCGCCCGTGCGCGGCAACACGATGGTGGAGGATCCCACGACGGTCGTATCGCACGGCACGATCGATCTCCCCCGGCGGAAAGTGACGCTCTTGAAGGAGAGCCACACAGAATGTTCACATGTATACACGATACGCAGAACCGGATCGTTGTGTAAAGCATTGCCCGGAAGCTACGACACATTACGTCCGTAATGACGTTGAAAATTATTTTCTCCGACGTTGTCGCACTCGCGTCCACGGTGTGTGTATTCAGTGCAATAGCGAAGCCGAGTCGAAAGGGGCGGCGTTAGTTGACGACGAGTCGACGAAACTCAAACGCGCGATGTCTAACGATCGATCGAAGTAGTCTTGGCGAAGAAGTAGCCTCAAGCAAGCAGTTCGATACGACGTGGAACAAACTCTCCTCTTCTCCGTGCGAGAGAAAAATCCGTAAAGACGTAATCATTATTTTCTAGTGTGCGGAACGCGTTTCTTCGTCTCTCTACGGCCAGACGCGTGTCGCGGACGAGGAAAGCCGCACGATCGAGCACGCGCGTGCAACGCGTGCGTACGTGCGTGCGTGCGTGCGTG